ACCTCTAATCTAGAGCCCTTTCAAATAAGACCCGGTTTCACATTTTTCTCTTTTGGCTTGGATACTTTAAGTGTTTTGTAAACACCGCGTGTGTCCATATGATGCGTTGAAACAAGCAAGATATCAGAATCGCTCTAATAGCAATTTTTGATAATCGGCCAAATTATTAAAGATGAGAAAAATATAAGCAATATGAAAATAATAGATCACACAACAACCAAGATTTTTGTTGAAGAGAAAAATTTATTATACCAAGTAACTAAATTGTCATTAGAAGATTTGATTTTCTCAATCTAAATATAAACAATTATCTCAAATTTTTAATGTATACAACAATGATCTAATTTTTATCTTGAGACTATAAAGAGCCTACACCTCCTCAAGTATTTATAAGAGCCAAATATTGGAGTTATGGATGAAGTATAATACAAAATCGCATCAAAAACTAAGCAGAAATGAAAATCCTTTCGAAAAAGGCAAGCCAACAGTTCTGCTTTTCTTTTTCACTCCCAGTGCCCCGGCTTAGTACTAGTGCTTTGAAAACAATTTTTCAACCATCCTAAATTCTTTATTCCAATCAAACTCCCTATCCATGATGAAATTTGATCCGTTATCAAACGAAATTTCTAAACCAAAATTATCTCAACTTCCTCTATGAATCAAACTTCCAAATTATATGGAAATTTAGTCACAAACATAAGAAACTCCACCTTTACACAAATTTCATAGTAAGGAATTAAGTATTCACTCTTCAAGTCATTCTCCAACTCTTTTACCATGTCCCATCCAAACACCGTATGCAACTGTCGGGCATACTCAGCAATTGTGAAGTAAATCCAATTCCTACTTACCAACAAAACTACTTTGCTCGCCATCCTTGCTTGAATTATCTCGTTCACTTCCAACTCTAGCCGAGTTAATAAACTTGCTCGAATCACAACGAGTAATTCTAACTCCACCACTACCCGAATAATGTTTTATTGAACCATAAGCTATAATTACATCCACAGTGATTGTAAGTATTTCAAATTTTAATGGAAAATTTATCTTTCACTTTTAAGTAACTTGGTCCTCCTAAGCCTTTTACTATCTAGAGCTCTTTCGAATAAGACCCGGTTTCTCATTTTTCTCTTTTGGCTTGGATACTTTTTTAAGTGTTTTGTAAACACTATGTGTGTCCATATGATGTGTTGAAACAAGCAAGATATCAGAATCGCTTTGATAGCAATTTTTGATAATTCGGCCCTACAGCAACCAAGATTTTCTTAGAAGAGGAGAATTTATTATACCAAAAAACTACAATTGTCTTTACAAGGTTTGATTCTCTCAGTCTAAATCTAAACAATTCTCTCTAATTTCTAATATATACAACAATGATCTAATTTTTATCTTAAATCTATAAAGAGCCTACATCTTTTGTAGTATTTATAGGAGCCAATTATTGGAGTTATGGATGAAGTAGAGCATAAAGTCGTGTTAAAAACCAAACAGAAATGAAATTCTTTCCTAAACATGCGGTGCCGACAGTTCTGCTTTTCTTTTTCGCTCTAGGCGCCCCGGCTTAGTCCTAGTGCTTTAAAAACACTTTTTCTACCATCCTAGAGTCATTATCCTAATCAAATTCACAATCCATGATGAAATTTGATCCCTTATCAAATCAGAATTCTAAACCAAAATTATCTCGACTTCTTCCACGATCGAGCAAACTCAACAACTGTGAATTGAATCCAAGTCCTGCTTACTAGATAGCAGAACTACTTTACGTGCCATCCTTACTTGAATCATCCCGTTCACGTCTAGCTCTAGCCAAGTCAATAAACCTGCTCGATTCACTACGAGCAATTCTAACTCCACCATTAATCGAGTTATTGCTTATTGAACCATAAGCTACAGTTGCATTCACAGTGATTGCCGAACCTTCTAACACATATAAACATGACTTTCCCCATCACCTTAACACAATTCCAAAACCTTCGCTAACTTTCAAAACTTCACATCCACATGTATACTTGTATCATTTTGAATCAATAGTACTAAAAATGATTACATTCTTGTTTATACCTGAAACATGTCAAATCTGGCCAAGTGTTTTAACCGTCCTATCAAACACCTTAATTTTGACAATACCATTCCCATTATTTTATAAGGCTCATTATTTCTCATCATCACGGAACCTCTTGTAACTGTTTCATATGAAGAAAATTAATCCCAGTTGGAATATATATGACAAGTGTAAGCTGAATCAAGAATTCAACCCTCGTCATGTTTGAAGTTACCTTCAATAATTGCCAAAAGATCTCTATCACTGTCTTCTCCTACAAGATTGACATTACCTAAATTTTCTGATTATTCCTTTTGATCTGTAGTAGCAAACATGTTCCGCTACTCAAAACAATCCATTTTCAAGTGTCCCTTATTTTTGCAATACCAACAGACTTTTTCACTGTTGATATCATTGACCATGTCCCTTCCATGACCACGTGTCTTCTTCTCACAAACAACACCCTCTACCTAAGCTTCGGAAACGACGACCAAATGTTTCATCTTCTCCTTACAATAAAGCGCATCATATACATCATCAATAATAAGAGTATCTCCATTATAGAGAATGGTATCTCTAAAAGACACATATGAACGCAACAACGGACATAACAATATCAAACATAAATCCTCTTCATCATACTTGACCTCCATGGTCTCTAAGTCAGTGACATTTCCTTGAACATCGATAGATGATCTTCCAAAGATCTACCTTCCATCAAGCGATGAGAATACAAACGTTGCTTCAAATGTAACTTGTCAAGTTCTTTATCATACAAAGCTACTCCAATTTTAACCACAACTCAGCGATACTTTTCTTCTTTATCATGTCCTAAAGAATTTGATTTGAAAGATGAAGATATATTTGTGATATGGCTTTCCGATCCTTCTGTTGCTTATCATCCGCAGTTATTGTTGAGGACGTTCTATCTATCCCTATCAAAGTATCATCAAGATCCAATTGAATAAGAACAGCTCGCATCTTGGTTTGTGACAAAGAAAATCTACCGCTACGATCCAAAAGTGGAATATCAAATTTTATATTTGTCATCTCTGAAACAATTGACCTTATTTAAATCTCAATTTAATAACCAATTTGGGCCTTCCAAAAACCCGCCAACTCTAATACAACATGTTAGGAAACAAGCAAAATACCAGAATCATCCTAATACCAATTGTTGAGAATCCAGCCAAATATTGAAAACGAGAATAATATGAGTATTATGAAAAATAACGGATCATACAAAATTTTTGTGGAAGATGAGAATTTATTATACCAAGAAATTAAAATTATGTTTACAAATTTTGATTCTATCAATCTAAATTTAAACAATTTTCTCAAGTTTCTAATGTATACAACAATGATCTAATTGTTATCTTGAATCTATAGAGAGCCTACAACTTGTGTAGTATTTATAGGAGCCAAATATTGTAATTATGGATTAAGTAGAACATAAAGTCGGTAAAAAACTAAACAAGAATGCAATTCCTTCCCAAACAGGCGGCGTCGACAATTCTACTTCTCTTTTTGGCTCCCAGAGCTGCGGCCGCCCGACTACGTCTTGGTGCTTCCAAAACACTTTTTCAACCATCTTAAAGTTCTTATCCCAATCAAACTCCCAATTCATGATGAAATTTGATCATTAACAAATCGGATTTTTAATCAAAATTACTTTGACTTCCTCTATAAATCAAACTTCCAAATCACATGGAATTTGAGTTACAAACATAACAGGATGTTTAATAAAAGAAAAAAATACATGTAAAAATGGTATATTCAACCAAGATGTATAAGCTAGTTCATATGGGGGCTTCACTAATTGCCGGTTAATTTTATTGATGGACAGAACTTTACCATTGGCACTAAGAGTCATTATTGAAGTTTACAAAAACATTTCATTCATATTAACATATCCAATTTGACGTCCATTTTTTAAAAACTGAAACTCCTATGCATTAGTATGTGAAGTCATCAAAACATTAGAATTTTAAGTTAAATCCTATAAGGCCATGACTTATTAGACAGATACGTAGAATGTCTAATAAGGCTAGACTTACTATTTTAAACTGAAACTCCTATGCATTCGTATGTGAAGTCATCAAAACATTAGAATTTTAAGTTAAATCCTATAAGGCTATGACTTACTATTTTGAATGAAACACTAGGTAACGACTAACGATCCCCACTCGTGAATTAATTTCATAATGGAAGCAAATAAAAACAAGAAAATGATGGGGAAAGGGGCCAATGCATAGTATCTTTTTTATCTTCTCATTTCCCCACACTTTTCCCTACTATTTTCCTACTTTTATCTTAGCTTTAGGCAAAAAATAATCTTTTCCTCCCTTTTATACTCTTTGTTTGTGCAAAACTTTTCGATATGGAGTCTTTGATTCTTACCACTTCATTTCAATCCCTTAATTTTGCTAATATAAAAATTAGAGTAATGTTATTTATCATCATCATTAAAATTGGTAACGTGGCATCTCATTATTCTTCACATTTCTCTCACCCTCCCATTCTTTCGTAAAAATTGAACTATTCAATCTCATTATTCCATGTAAACTATTGTATATATTCAATTATAAAATCATAACTATAAATGACACTATTCTAAAAGCTTTTCTTTTCACAGCCAAGTACTTGTATATTTCATTTTACTGCGACAATTACACTTCCTAACACACAAATCATCCCTTATTGCCGTTATACTTGAGCCTTCACTTTCCCACCAGCATTTCGTGTTCTTTACTTTTTACTGTTAGCAAAAAAGGTGGGTGCCACGTATACATAATGTGAGTGGTTTCTTGAATATCTTAAATCTTAGGTGTCTAAGGGTACTCATAAAGTTGCAGTTTTTCTTTCAATTTTGCAGTCATTTTTATGGAATTCTGATAGATTTTTTGATTTTGGGTTGCATATTTGTAACAGTTGCATTTTGCTCTACAAGGAGTAAGCAATGGCGTCGACAGTGGTGAAACCGGATGACCCACCGCCACATACACCCAAAGATCAGCTTCCAAATGTTTTCTACTGCATTACCAGTCCTCCTCCATGGCGTTAGTATCTTATCATATTCATACTGTTTCTTTATAGTCTTCGTAAATACTTTCTGCTATTACTTTGAGGTCTTTGTTATGAAGTGGTTGTGCACTTGTGCTTGTGAATGTAATGTAGAAGCTTGCCTGTGAGGCCTTTAAGCCATTTTGTTTACACTTTTAAGCATATACTCATATTTTTTTTCTACCAAATACCTATTTGGTTAGTAGAAAAAAGTGGCAAAGGTTTTGAGTAGTGTCAGGTTGATTATAATCTATTCTTTCTGTTTATAGTTTAGGTGTATATACTTGTCTCAAACAACTAGTACAGTTTAGGTTCTGATTTTGGTGAATCCCCCTATTGCTCCTCGAATTTGTAGTTTTTCTTCTTATTGCCCGTTCCTTTTTCTTGCAATTGTTCAGTCCATTGATGGTTTTGCCTTATGAGTTGTTCTTGAAAAAAAAAAAAATTGGAAAAGCAGGTCAATTTATTCATGCACGAATTGTATATTATCATGTTTATGGGGATTAATGTGCTTTTGTTACTATTTGGGATCTGGACATGATTTAGTGACTTGAGATTCATCCTTTTATTTTCTAATCTATTTGGCTGATCTAGGGCCCTTGTTGAATTTGGTGTATTCCCTCAAAATGGTTTGATATAACAATGTTACTATTCCTAGGACTCACCATGTTAATAGTATAGCATCAGTCTGAAGTGATTCCTACTTTTCTGAACATCAAGAATATCTTTGTCCTCTTATTTGAGTCTAGTCACCTGTAAGTTTTGTAATCTAATACAAAAATGGGTTTCGGGCAATCCCAATTTCACAATGCATGGTTTTTATGTTACAGCTGAGGCCATCGTTCTTGGATTTCAACATTATATAGTAATGCTTGGCACAACAGTCATCATACCAACAGCACTGGTTCCTCAAATGGGAGGAGGAAATGTGAGTCATTAGGACTTAATACAGTGCTTACATGACTTCAAATTCTCTCTATTTGTTTCCTATATGTTTTCATATTCATTGACCTTTCCAAATACATGCTCTGTTTCCAGGAGGAGAAAGCCAAAGTTATTCAGACTCTGCTGTTTGTTGCTGGATTGAACACTCTATTGCAGTCATTCTTTGGAACAAGATTACCTGTTGTGATCGGAGGGTCATACACTTTTGTTGCACCCACAATTTCGATTATCCTGTCTGGTCGATGGAGTGACCCAGACCCTATTTCGGTTAGTGATCTTGATACTGTACCCATTATCTTTTGTTCTTCAAATGTCAACTTGAGCCTTGCAGTGCTTGTTATAAAAACTTACATCATGTTTGGTTGTGCTTAAATGTGAACGAACTTACCTTTGAGTTACTTACTTTGCCAAACATGATTTTTAAAATTACTTTTTTTTTTTATAGAAAAGTAACTTTTAAGCACTACTATGGGCCCCTTTGGCAAGGTTTTGAAAAGTCAAACTAATTTGAGACTAAGAAACTGCTTTTGAACATGCATGAATAATTTTTCAAAAGTTCTTTATTTGATTATAAGAGTTTTTAGAGGAAGCTGACCTACTGTAGCTTCTTTAGGAAGCTCTTTTATAAAAAACAGAAGTTGTGCCTATTGAGAAGCACTTGGTGGTTTGTCACCCACATGTTCATGTTATTAGAAATTCGTTGAAAATTAAATAATGCTGAAGCCTAAAACTCAGGGCAACATTGCCTCTAGTTACTCTTGGTGAAATTTGGTTCAAATAAATGATTTACTTTCAATGGCTGCACAGAAATTCAAGAAGATAATGCGGGCTACACAGGGTGCACTTATTGTTGCTTCAACCATTCAAATAGTACTAGGTTTCAGTGGCCTTTGGCGTAATGTTGCAAGGTTTGTTTGCATTACAAAATTAATATACATGTACTTAGTTTCATCCATGCTTAGCCATAATCAACATGTCTGTTGTATGATATATTTGTCCATTTTTTCATGGAGTATTTTGATTGTTCCCAGTATCATTAAAACTGACTTAATCTATCCACGTGATCTAGGTACCTGAGTCCACTTTCAGCTGTTCCTTTGGTTGCTCTTGCAGGTTTTGGGCTCTATGAGTTTGGTTTCCCTGGGGTATGCATGATTCTTTACTGGATCTCTCTCTTTCTTCCAAAATGATTTTACTCTGTTTGTCTACTGGCTTTTCTTACTTGCTACGATCTCTTGCCTTTTTTGTTTAGGTTGGCAAATGTGTTGAAATTGGGTTGCCACAGCTCATAATTGTAATTTTTATTTCTCAGGTAATAGTCTTCATAGCACTCTGACAATTCTCCTACATAATTTAAGAATGCCACTTTCCATTTCATAACTGTTTTTAGAAATTTCCACATATCTTATGTCGCATGCCATCTAGGATAGATTTAGTTTTCTTATTATTGCAGTATTTGTTCTATTCAATCCAATTCCAAGAATCGTTCTACAGTTAATTTTTCTGGTTATTGCAGTATCTGGTTGACCTGATACGCCCAGGAAAGCATATCTTTGAACGTTTTGCGGTTTTAATTACGGTGGTAATTGTATGGATTTATGCCCATTTACTTACCGTGGGTGGGGCCTATAATGACAAAGCACCAAAGACTCAAACAAGCTGCAGAACTGATCGTGCGGGACTTATTGATGCTGCTCCATGGTAAGCTGAGTTTCCCTCCGTTAATGTTAGTAGTCAAATTGATTGGTATTATTGCTTGTCACCCAGCCATTTAATGGCGTAATTTCAATATTGGCCGCATCATTTGTGTTTACAATCAAGTGAGTGAATTCTGTAATGGCCATCATGCACTTAGGTTTCTTTGGGGTAGGATGGGATGAAATTGTTAGAGATTAAGCCTACGAATCCCGAGAGCAATAACAATTGAGAAGAAAATCAGAAACACAGAGACACATGCAAACACACAAATTTGATAGTGGCTCGCTCTCAATGTGAGAGCTACGTTCACTTGCCGCAACATTAATTTGTTTATATTTGCCGCAGTAAAGAAATGCAGAAGAAACTGCTTTGAGCTGTTCATTCTTATGAACCTTAGGGGCCGATTCAATGAGTTTTCCACTTGTGTTACTACCATATTTATACAGAGATGGTGATGCTTTTGTGAGAAAATAGATATGCAGTTAAGTTTGATGCAAATAAAGACATTAAAATCTACAAATGGATATTGAATTACCACAAATTAATCATTAACAGGGTAATAGATAGTTCTTTACTAATCTGATTGTCTGTCTCATTGTACACGAGTGAGCTCAACTGGAGTGACAAATGTGCTACAGCTAAATTACAGCATGGTTTGGTACTAACAGCATTTGGTGCATTTTGTTTCGAATTGCATACGTTAATTAACAAATGCATTTATGCATTTGGCCGGCCAATGAGTTCTTGATGGTTTTCGGGGTACCCTTGCAGGATAAGAGTTCCATACCCATTTCAATGGGGAGCACCTTCATTTGACGCTGGTGAAGCCTTTGCCATGATGATGGCAGCGTTTGTTGCTCTTGTGGAGGTTTGTTTTCATTGCATGGCCCAGTGCTTACAAAATTACAGTATCATTCAGTGCTCTATTGTCGTTCCATCCTGTAATTGGCTTTCCTTTATAAACATAGATTCTTGTTTACAATCAAATTTGGGTTCTGCTGATTTTTGATGATTCAGAGCATGTTTGCCTAAGCTTGACTATTGAAAAAGTTTTTGTATTGAAAATCCAAACAAAGTAACTTATAAAACGTCTCAAACTTTTGGCAAAAAAGTTAGTTCAAATTAGCTTTAAAGCTTAACCTAACATGCTTTCATTGTGTTGTTTTTTCTTTCTTTTTTATTATGTATAAATTCTTTCATTGTTTCTAACTGTCTTTTCTTCACATTTTTCCAAATGGTATATGCAGTCATGTGGTGCTTTCATCGGTGCGTCCAGATTATCTAGTGCAACTCCTTTGCCACCGTCTATTCTTGGCCGTGGTATTGGCTGGCAGGTAAATATGGCACCTTATAGGCCCTGACCAGCCGACCTCCCATTCCAAAAAAAAAAAAAAAAAAATCACATTCGAAGGAGAAAAGAGAAAGGAAGAATAAAATTGCAAGGCTAATATTGTTTACCTGAATAAATTTATTGCATTGTTCATACATCCAATCATCTTCTTCGTACATTGTTTGCTCGAATCTAAACAAACTTCAATATGCTATAAGCAAGAGAGATACAAAAGTGAGTAATTAATAAACGTTGTGAGGTCATTTCTGAATGTGAATGGTTAAGGTGCAAATTCACCGTGAAAGTTTACTTTCTGGGTTATCTTTGAGTAATAAATTCTATCATTTTGCCCAGGAAATAGGTGATAATTAAGGTGAGGAAACATTTTGGTTGATTTTTATGCTTCAGAAAGAAAACATGGAAGATGAATACATGATTGGCATACTTGCATCAGTAAAGATTTTGTTAATCAATTATTTTGAATGTAAAGAACTCAAGAGGCACATCCAGTTACATTTTCAAACAAATTTTTTCAAAGCGTTTCTAAAATTATTTCCATACGTTAATGTCTCAGGGCGTTGCTATCTTGTTGTCTGGTTTGTTTGGAACTGGAAACGGATCATCAGTTGCTGTGTAAGAGACTACTCTTTTTTTCTGCATAATTACTTGATTCCAACTTATTCAGACATAACTTCCTTATAATCCAACTGCTTTTCTTGGCTACTGTACAGCGAGAACGTTGGCTTGATAGGACTGACGCGTATTGGCAGTCGAAGAGTTGTGCAGATATCTGCTGGATTCATGCTTTTCTTTTCCGTTCTTGGTTGAGTTTTTGAAAATTTTTATTTCATGCAGATTACTTGATCTCTTTCCCAAGTAGTCTCTTACTGGTGTATCGTCTATATTAAGAATAATTTCCTCTGCAGGAAAATTCGGAGCAGTCTTCGCTTCAATCCCAGCACCAATTTTTGCTGCTTTATACTGTGTTTTCTTTGCTTATGTTGGTATACATAACTAACCCATCAAAAATCTCATCTAGAATTTCTATAAACTACTATTGATATATTAACTTATTCAGTAATTTTAATTAACATGAATATACAGGTTCGAGCGGTATAGCTTTTCTTCAGTTCTGCCAGCTTAACAGTTTCCGCAACAAATTCATATTAGGCTTTTCGATATTTATGGGATTGTCCGTGCCCCAATACTTCAATGAGTACACTGCTATTAAGGGCTATGGTCCTGCTCACACGTCTGGGAGATGGGTATGCACAATACTTTACTCCCAAATCTCTTAAATTTTTTTAGTGCGTATTATGTACAGCATTAGACCATACTCAACAATACAATGAACGAGCATTTATTTCATCATTATTGCCATTAAGTATCTAATCCATCTTGCCAAGCATGCTATTAGTGGTTAAATTTCTTGCTTCTTCCAAAGTTGGACTTACCAAAAAGTCGATTTTGTTTGTTATCTGTGGCCAGTTCAATGACTTAATAAATGTCCCTTTCTCGTCGAACGCTTTTGTGGCTGGGATATTGGCGTATTTTCTGGACAACTCATTAGACAAGAAGGATTCTCAAGTAAGGAAAGATAGGGGAAGACATTGGTGGGACAGATTCCATTCCTTCAAGAGTGATGCAAGAAGTGAGGAATTCTATTCCCTTCCCTTCAATCTCAATAAATATTTCCCATCTGTGTAAGTTTTCCTCGCGTCGTTAATAGTTCTTAATAACTAAATATGGACCAAAGAGACCGTACCATTGTTGTTCAACTTGTGTAATTTGTTCCATAGTAAAGAAATATAAAGAGCCTGACCATTTTAAGGAAGTCTAGAGTCGATTCTTGAGCGTCAAAGTCAACAAACTGGTTGATGTTTGTTTGAATTTATTTCTTTATCTATAAATCTATTTGTTATGAATATGAATTTGAGGTAGCAATGAAGCAATTGTTACAAATTTTCCAGTTGTCAAGTTGAGCTGTATGTATGCTTTTTTCTTATATATAAATCAACACGTGCGTGTAGAATCTAGATCTGTTGTCATGAAATATGATTGAAATTGCAACATAGGGCGGGTCTTTATATGTCATGTTAAACACCCGAGTATGTAGTTCGATATGTGTTTACATTATTTTATATGTGTAGTTTGTGTGTAGTGTTTTAAGGCCTAAATGAAAGCTCGAAAACTCATTGTAACTATGCGAAGCAATAATTCGAATCTAAATGCTATTTTTGAACTCAGACCAGAATACCATTTTTAGTTCAAAGAAAGGATTTTGGTAACCTATACCAGAATCACTTTCAACGCTCTGATATGCGGTTTGAGGCAGCTTTTGATGTACTGACTAATCTAGACGACCCTTGTTGCTTTACCCTCCCACCAGTTGCAAAAACTTTCTTATTAACAGTAACTCCAATATTTGTCCTGTTAAGCTATGAAGTTACCCCAAAAAATGGAAGTAATAATGAGATATGTTGACCAGAATTGCCCTTACAAAACACAAAAACTATAATCCCATTTGTTTGGTGGTAGAGGAAGGGGGATTGGTTAGATTGTTTAATGCAATGGTATTGACCTTTGGGCCTACAAAATATTGTTTTCATCCACTTAATTACATGAAAAAGAAAAGAAATTCTATGCTACCCACTCATTTATTCATTTATATCATTAAAGAAACAAGAAAAATGACAAACTTATCATTCACATTCAAAGCTTTTTATGTGTATATATGTGGTATATAGAGTGCTTGCTAAAGTAGACTTGAATAGTATTCGAAAAGAAATTAAAATCTTGTTGATTGAACTGTCTTTTATCGTTAAATATGCATCAAATGTGCTCCCAAGAAATAAATAAACACGTTGAATGTAAATTTACATAAGAAATTACTGTTCTTTAGAATAAAACTAACCTCACTCGCGCACACACATGCAGATACACTATTATTTACCTCGCGTTCTTCTTTAATCTTAGTAAATCAAATTTGAAAAAAAAAAAAAAAAGTAAATAAAACCACACAAATCAATTTCCGACATTTTAATCAGATACCATACTGAAATTGTGGATAAAACGTGAGAGCCTTGTTTATTGGGCAGAGCATAGGGTTGTATTTGCCCATGCTTGCTAGAAGAGGGATAGCCCATCCAAATTCTCTGTCTTGTTTCTTTTTCCCTCAAAGCTCTTAAATTGTTCGAGTTGTCTCTGAACAACTTAATAATTTAGTAACATACATGTTCTAAAACAAGATCGCGGTTGAATACGGTTTAATTCACGTTACTAAACCTAACGTAAGTGTTAGTTGCAGGGCTGGATCTTCTCGAAACATTTTCGATACTAAATATTCTCCGTCACTCATGTTAAAATCTTTATGGGCTCGTCCGTCCTCATTTCCTTTTCTGGTTTTTCTTTCATTAAGTGTATATAAAAGCTTTAAAATTCTTGATCACGATTTTCTACTTTTTTTCTTACAATTCTAATTATTAAAGAAAGGACTTTTGCTTTTAAGGTTTAGCTGTGAACCAGAATCTTAAAGCGTAAACCAGCGGAAGAATTGGAAGATTTTTGGAATGTGATCTAATTTAAAATGAACTGATAAGATTTTGTGACAATTCTGAGATAAAAAGTGGACCACTATGAATTGTCACTCGTCTGATTTGAAGACAAAAAAACCTCACAGATTATTTTAGGCAGAAAGTTGATTTTTTTGGGTTTGAAAGAAAGCCACATGATCTGTACCTTTTGTTTGTTTCCAAGCCTCAACAACTAATAATAAAAACTTGTAATAACCAAACATCCCCCCCTTCCCCCAACCACTAACATTCTACCTAAAGGTATAAAAGTGAGTCCCGTAGAAGAAACGAAACACCTTGATACCTAAAATCAATCAATTTTGAACATAAATATTTTTAATAAATATAATAGATGCATGTTGAAGAAACGAAACAACTTGATACCTAAATTCAATCAATTTTGAACATAAATATTTTTAATAAATATAATTGATGCATATTTATGGCAAGATCTATTATTTAATTGAATTAATGTTCTAATAAATTAAATAATAGAATCTATAAATTCAAGTTTTGGTAAATTGTTAATCACAAGGAGTTGTGATTGTGAGATATAAATTACATATGATTGAATCTTAAATCTTCAGTAGTCGTATGTAAAAACGAATCTCGTTATTACAGATAGATCATTATGTGTATCATTTCTTACTTGTGAAGTAAGTAACTGATCTCACAAAATAAAAGTGGTGACAAGTAAATGAACGCGTTAATATTTTTTTATAGAACAAAACATTGGAGACCCGCTGAGAAGATTCCACATGGATAACTATCTAAGTGTCAGTAGTTAATATCCAACGTTTGGTATTGGAATTGATCTTTTCACTTGAGGTCATTATAATGCCTTATATAAGAACAGTCATACTTTGGTAATATTAGATGTTCCCTGCCAATGGTCACTAATATAACATCGTTCGAGTATGTCAATAATCATATAAAGGTTGTGAATGATTAATAGAGGATTTGTCACTTTTAGATAGTAAAAGATTATGATGTACATTTCATTCAATTAAATTGATAATAAAATCCTTGGCCAGGTGTATTCATAAGTCGAAAATGAGTTTTCGACTTATATTAATTTAATAGTGAGATAAAAGATATGATCGATAATTGAGATTAACAAACATTCATATATCATAATTGATCGGATCATAATGACGAACGGATTATAATACGAACTAGTTTGGTTGTCATACCTCATGACATTTTTCGTCACATGTATTGCCCGACACATTGCTATATGTCAATTTGGGACGATAAATGTGAATTAGTGATAAATTAAAAGGAGTATTTTAATATATTGATTTTGATTAGATCAAAATAATAATTCACGTCGTTAGATATCGTAATCGGGAACCTGATGGGTCATACAAAAAGGAGAACCAGAAAAATGAGATTCGCTAATTAATTAATTAACAAATGTTGGACAATTAATTAACTAGGTTTCTTGTTAATAAGTTCGAATTAATTAATTCATTGACCAATTTTAATTATGGGAAAATCAGGTCCAGTTGCCTTTTTTTTTATGTTTTTTTATTAATATTCTTAAACTCTAATTAAAAATTTTAATGAAATATTAATTACGTCCAATTGTGACTTTTTCATATAAAAGTGACATAATGTCAATTTTTCATAAAAAAGTTACAGATGTCACATTCTCCTTTTGTCAAACATCTTGCAAGTATCAATGATTTAATTGATTCAAAATTTTCTTATTCATATGTATTACCATAAAACAGGACTTGAATTGGTATGTTCAAAATTTCAAAAATGCATACATATACATCTAGTTAATTGCTTAAAGATATAGTGTGGCTTTTTTTTGAGAAAAGTGACAGAATATCACTTTTTCATAGAAATGTGACAAAACGTCACTTTTTCATAAAAAAGTAGCAGAATTTACATTATCCTTTTATCAAACACTTCACATACATCAATGATTTAACGGATTCAAAACTATTTTTT